ATAGAGAAAATTGGCAAAAAGAAAAGAGAGTATAAGAGAGAGCTCAAAAACGCTTTCTTTATTCTGTTAGACATCGAATGGATTTAAAAGGAAATTTTGGAATGAGAGAGATGGTCGATCAATGTATTTCGGCGGCGTAGCTTTCAAAGGCTTGCACCCTTTGCCTATGGTGTAACCTGAAGGTATCCAAGTTTCTCAGCAGCACTGGTTGCTTCGCTGACTTAAGTGAGGAACAACGTAAGATATTTGCGAAGCTCATGTAATTGATGTAAACTTGCATTTCCAAACTAAACTCCTTTCAACTAAATTGTTTTGGGCCAGCTTCCACACTGAATTTACAACCAAAGCCTCAATAATGCCAGAAGGTTTGGATTTCCTCACTTTAATTAGCAGATAATCTTTTAAAAATCTCTGTCGTTATGATTGGCTAAGAAGATGGAGACAGCTCCCAAAAAATTATTACTTATGCTTTTACCAAATTGTTCTGGATTTATAAATGCAACGAAAGGATTTGATTCAAATCTCTAAATGTATGAATACTTTCAAAGCTTACATGTAAGAACAAATAGAATCTGACGTAACTGTAGAGTATCTGAGAACTTCTGGCTTCTTCTTCATGAGCTAAATAAATAAAAGGATAAAAAAATATACCAATTGACATGCAGGAAGTGAAAATCACAATCGCATATAAATTACCAAATTTAGGATCTGTTTTTCCGAATCTGACTCCCTCGTGTTAATCTGTTCGCAGCAGACGGCAACTGATTTGGAAACGCGCCGTTGAACGGTATTAGACTATTCTGCATTCCATCTTTATTTCTTACCAGTGCACTGTTCATGTATAAAAGAAATTCAATGGGTTTTTTAGAACGTTAGCAAAAAAGTATCTTAATTTTACTTGAAACCATTAGAAACATGGGCTTTTCTGAAAAGGGTTCCTCTTAACGCTTTCTTGAAGGGACGATGCACAGGCCATTTCGACCTTAGAGCCCGCTCGTAGCAACACAAAATGGACAACCAGCTACCACGTTTTCACAATAAAAATCCTTATGTTTACTTAGTGTTCTGCAGTTAACATGATAACGATTGATAACTGCTCTTTGACTTTCTTGAAACAACTGAACTAATTTCGTGACAGACAGAGAAACATACACACATACAGACAAACTTAGCGCCTTATTATAAGTAGTTTGTATACAAAAGAATCAAATTTATTGTTTTCTACAACGTTAGCGAGAAAGTTCTCATAATCTGACTCATATCATCACATGCGCTTTTGTGCGAAAGGTTTAAAAGTTTCTTACCTTTTAATGCTGAAAGATAAAGGCACAGAGGCCATTTGATCGCACTGTTGTGCCTGGCCATAGCATCACGAAATGAACAACCAACTTACCACGTTTTCACAAAAATTGCTCCCTTGTTCACTTAGTGTTTTGTAGTTAATATGATAACGGTTGATAACTGCTCTTTCTAACTAACTGATGACTTTCTTAGTATAAATGAACTAATTTCGTGACAGACAG